TACTAGGGAAACTGAGGCAGGAGGATCTCAAGTTTACAGCCAGCCTCAGAAGCTTAGCAAGACCTTGTCTCAAAATAAGCAGGGCTATGGGATGTAGCTCAGTGATAAAGCACCACTGGGTTCTGTCTCCTGTATGATGTGTGATGATGTATGTGTGTGTCCCTCTCTCTCCCCCTTCTTCTTGCTTTCTCTCTGATAAAGTGAGGATACAGTGAGAAGGTAACCTTGTAAAAGCCAAAGAGAGAGCCTTCACCATAAACTGACCATGCTATCTGCATTGTGATCTCAGACTTCAGCCTCTAGAACTTTAAGAAATAAGGTGTTGTTTAAGCCACTCAGACGATGGTATTTGGTTGTGGCTGCCCAAGCAAACTAAGGCATCACCTCCTCTAATTAGCCTGCCCATCCCAGGCAGAATTAAGATCCTTCTCCTTTCTGATACTTCTCCATTTTACAAATGCTTGTATTTCCCCATGTAACTACACCATTTGAATCATTCTTCTTAGGAGACTATCAACTCTCTGAGTGGCAGCAATGCTGTCTTATTCCTCTTTTCCTCCCTGATACCTAACATAAAGTAATTCTTTTAATATTTATTTACCTTACAGTATGGCGAAAACATTAATTTCTCAAATAAAAAAAAACTGACATGAATATTTGAATTGTTAAAGGAACCTTTGCTATCTACAGAAATTGTTATACAATGAGAAAACAAAGACATCAAGTCTATCCAGATTTAATCTATAACTTTAACATAATTCAAATCAATCATGAACTTGATGTGTTTATTACTAGGTTCACCTGGAAGAATAAAGGCATTGGGAAATCCAAGAAAATTTGGAAAAGAAAGAATAAAGATGAAATCTACTTTATTAGAATTTCAGAATGCCAAAAAATTACATAGTAATGTGATTACAATAAAATGGAAATTAAAATATAGGTTTAAAGGAATTTAATATAAAGTGGCACTTAAAGCTAAAGTTAAGCAAAACCCCTATCTCACTCCTTATGACTAAATTCCAATTCAATACTACTTTAATGGGAAAATGTGAAAATATGAGAGTCCTAGAAGAATAATTTATAAAAAAAATATAAAATTTCATCTAAAATGTACAAAAGTTGGGCTGGGGATGTGGCTCAAGCGGTAGCGAGCTCGCCTGGCATGCGTGTGGCCCAGGTTCAATCCTCAGCACCACATACAAACAAAGATGTTGTGTCTGTTGAAAACTAAAAAATAAATATTAAAAATTCTCTCTCTCTCTCTCTTAAAAAAAATAAAATGTACAAAAGTCTTTATTGTTCAGTTTTTCATTTTGAACATTTTCAAATTAATATATAAGTGTCACAATTATAAGACAAAGATCACTATTATATGCCCATCATCTACATCTACCAATTGTAAACATTCTACCACATTTGCTTTTTATTTCTACCACCCCCCCCATAATTGGGGGAAACTGAGGGTAATGGCGAGGGGGGGTATATGGAAAATTTTTATACTTTCCACTCAGTTTCCTATAATCTAAAAAATAAAATCCATTAATTTAAACAAATCACAATCAAATAATAACCTGGAGCTTTAATTAACACTATAAACAAGGTTTAACACTCTGTGGATGACCTATCTATGAGACATCCCTACCTTTTCCTTATCAAATAATTCCAGGGCTCTGACCCTGATAGAAGGGTCAGGAGTGATTCTTAATTCACAGTCTGAGTCAATCACAGTGATTCCATTCTGCTTGCTAGTAACTAGACTGGGCATGCTGTGGGGCCTACTTCTGGCCAACAACACAGGAGGGGAGGTTTGCGGGCGGGTGGGTTGGGAAAAGTTCTCCCATTCTTAAGGAGACCCATTGGAAGAGAAGCGTTCTTGCACTGGACTCAAGATGGCCAGAACTATAGCAGAGAACTAGTCAGAATGCCAGGCCAACATAACTTGGGATGATAGACCAGAAAGATGGAAAGAACCTGGATCCCCAATGGCATTACTGAGTCCCCAAATTGAACAACCTTCTGATCACCTAGTTTTCTTTTCTTTATTGCAGTGCTGTAAATGGAACCAGGACCTTGTGCTGCTCAGCAAGTACTCCACCACCTCTTGTTTTGTTTTACAACAGTAGTACACTTGCCCAGTGTTGAAGTCCAGCTGAATCGGGTATGATCTGACCTAGTAGCTACTCTTTTTCTCTTCTTACAAGTAAAGAACTGAGATCCAGAGAGATTAAGCTATCTTGCCCAAGGTCATGCAGATTAAATGTGGGGAACTGGAATTTAATTCAGGCCGACTGCCTCCAAAGGACTTGTTCTTTCTGCACTACCCCATTTTGTCTCCAGCAGAAGCTGGGCACAGAATCTTCAAAGAGAAGCCAATATTTCAGGAGTCGAGAAAACAAATAGTATCTTGCAATATAAGTAACTATAAACTGTGGAATATCCTTAAGGAGAAAACTCTTGAAAATTCTCTTAAATTAGAAAGAACATATTTTCATTTTCAGTTTGTATTCTTAACTTGAATATGAATGACAGCCCTACAGTCTAAAGGAAAGAAGATCAATATAATCAGCACTACAAAGATAGTGTGTTTTTTGTTTATTTATTTTTGGCAGTACCAAGGGTTAAGCCCAGGGGCACTTTACCACTGAGCTGCATCCCCAGCCCCTTTAGTTTTTTATTTTGAAACAGGGCATTTTTATGGTGCTTAGGCTGGCCTCAAACTTGTAATCCTCCTGCCTCAGTCTCTCTAGTCTATGGGATTACAAGAGTGCACCACTCTTCCCAGGTATAATCACCACTGTAAAACCATGTACAAGGCTCTGGGTTCGATTCAGAACATCAAAAAGTTAATTAAAAACAACAGGGCTGGGGATGTGGCTCAAGCGGTAGCGCACTCGCCTGGCATGCGTGCGGCCCAGGTTCGATCCTCAGCACCACATACCAACAAAGATGTTGTGTCCACTGAGAACTAAGAAAAAATAAATAAATATTAAAATTCTCTCTCTCTCTCTGTCCCCCCTCTCTCTCACTCTCTCTTAAAAACAACAACAACAACAACAACAAAATCATACCCAGAAAGTCTCCCATACTTATATCAGTCACAGACTCATTAAGTGACCCTGTTCAGGCCATCCCTTGAGAAGATTATTATCAACCTACTGCCTTGTCTCCGAATCTGGTACAAATAATAATAATAATAATAATAAATGTTACTGGCCTTCGATGTTTTGAAGTACTTCACACTATATGTGAACAAAAAGCAGAGTTGAATTCCTATCTATGTATTTGGTGCATCCCATATTTTCCTAAATTATATTTCTGGGGTTAAAAATGGGGTCACATTAACAATACATAGTGTATTTTCACGGCTCTAATCATTTACTATTATAACTTGACCTTCATTCTCACTGCAAAGCTTCCCCAATTATTTCTGCCAGGAGTACGTTGCTTTTTCTCCATGAACTTACAGCATGTGTTCTTCACATTCACTAGTCTTCCAAACTCCCTTAAGAAGCTCAGTGGCGGCAGCCCAGCCGTCCACCCCTACACTGCACAAGGAGGTCCCACATTGCCTCTGATCCCACATTACCCTGCGGTAGACCCTGGGTCTCCTCCACAGGCTCAAGCCCAACATCCACACAGTGTCCCAGTTTCTGTGCCTCTGTAATCACATCCTGCCCTGCTACTGACCTCCTCTAGGGGACACCCATGTCTGACCTGGATTCCCACAAGATCCAGGACTGCCTCCCCGGACCCCAAAGGACACTAATTTTTGTTGTGAATAGTGATATCACCACGGACAGAGATGTTTGGAAAGATAATTACCATAGTTTAACACCAGTTGCTTCTAAGAGGGGATGTTTAGGATAAGTTTTATTTAACTTTCTTCTTTGTACTTTTTTTTTCCCCCTATTCATCTCTTTAATTTTTTTAACTCATGGTAAAACACACATGAATGTTACCATCTTCATCATTTTTAAGTGTTTCTTTCAGTGACATGAAGTGCATTCACATTGTTAGGTATTCATTTCCAGAATTTTCATCTTGCAAAGCAAAAATCTGTACCCATTAAACAACAACTCCTTACTCCCTCTTCTCCTAGCTCCTCACAATCACTGGTCGACTTTCTACATCTAAGGGTTTTACAGCTCTAGGTAACCTCATAAGAGTGAGATCATACAGTGTTTATCCTCTTGTGACTGGCTTATTGTACTCAGCATGATGTCTTCAAGGTTGTCGATGTTGTAGCACGTGTCATAATTTCCTCCTTTTTAAGGCTGCATAGCATCTGTCCATCTATGAATGGACATCTGGATGGCTTCCACCTTTTGATTATTGCAAACTATACTCTTATAAACGTGGATGTACACATCTCTTTTATAGTCTCTGCATTCAACTATTTTGGATATGTACTCAGACATGGAAATAATGGATTATATTATACTTTTCTTTTTATGACATCACTTTGTTCTGTACTCTTTAAGCTATCAAGCATAAATCATTTTAATAAAAATGGCATTTTCCTTACCAAAAGTTGAAAATTACTAATTACCAAAAAATAATAATTAAGTAGTTTTATGTTCATTCTACTGAATATAACAGAAAAGATTTTCCATGCCTTAGAGGGAATTAGATTCCTTTATACAGTAAATAATATTCAGTATCTGTTATTGTACATGATACTATTCAAGTTTTCCATATTCTAAGGGAGGACAAAAAGCTCAAATTTCTCAATAAGCCAAAGGCCAACTTGCTGAACAAGGACTTGGTTCACACAACAAAGAAAACCAAGGGAAACTTGAACATGAGGAGAAAGAGTAAAAGAGAAGATAACAAAGCCAAGTCATTGAATCAGACACAAAGTTCCTTAGGTAAATAGCATGCATATTGGTCTAGAAAACATTCCAATTATGAAAAAGAGGCAGGAAAAGTCCAGGATAGCTCTAGAAGGATAAATAGCAGATTAGTGGTTGCCTGGAGCTGGTGGTAGAAACAGTATGTGACTGGAAAGGGAAGGAGAGAGATTTTTGAGGTAACCAATATTTTAAAACTCATTTACAGTGATGGTTCTAACTCGGCCAATTTATTAACAGCCGTTGGATGGCACATTTTAAATGGGTGAGGTTTATGGTATGTCAATTATGCTTCAATAAAGCTGATTAAAAAAAAAAAGAAAGAAAATCAAGGGAGGTAAGTGCAAGAATTTTCAAGACTCTGTGTTATTTCTGAACTAAAATGAGCCTTGTCCTCTCTTGGAATCAATTAGCATGACTGAAGCTGAGAGTGCCTTGCCTGCTGGGAATAAAAGCCAGAATGACACAGGCTTGGAAGAAGAGGAAATAAGGGGGAAAAGATAAGGGAGAAAAGCTTCACTCACGCCCTGGAGTTGCTTGCTTACTGAACTGGGCTCCATTCAAAGACACCAAGGATTATTAGGGAAAAAAGAAGAAGCAGGACAAATTGGGACATAGTAAAAACATCTTAACAGAAATACACACGCAATGCTACGGAAGATTTTAAAAGCAAGAAAGCATATCCTGTTGTGAGTTGTTCCAGAAAGGCCTTTTGAAGAGGTGCTACTTATAAGCTTGGTCCCCGCACATTTCCGTCAATGTCTGCAGTGGTAAGAGGGGGCAGGGGGCAGCAGGGAGGGAGGCACTTGGCATAGACGTGCACATTCTGCACAAATAAGGGTGGGGCCATGGCCCGTGTCTTTGTTCACCAGGTTGAACAAAGGTTTGATTGTGAAAAAGTCAAGATCCAGGCACCAACAGGGAAAGGAGATAAGGCTGCAAAGGGGTCACATGAATCAAGGCAAGAGGTTGCCTTACCTAGTGAGGCATGCCTGAAGGTCATGGAGTGGAGAAATAGTCTGATGAGAGTCATGGCAGGAAGATGTTCTAGTAACACAGGAGTTCTCTCTTATACACCATCTACTTAACATTTTACAGATAACTAATTCTCCAACATAGCCAATGCAGCCCCTGTTGTAAGGCATACTGTCTGATATCCATGGCAAGATGAATTCTTTTGGCTAGTAGGTTCCTCTCCAAGATCCCTGTGCCCTTCTGTTCCCCAGCATTGGGTTGTTTATGTTCTGAGCCCGGTGTATATGTCCCCAAATCTGTTTATGCTATTTGTGTTGTATTTACCTAAATTATCACAAAACCAATGAAATATGAGTGGTGGTGGTGGGAAGATTGTTTCTTCAAAATCCACATTGAATGTTTTGAAAAGCCTCCATAAAGGTGAGTCCCTAAAAGTGGGGACAGCAACTGCAAAAGACTAAGAGAATATATACTATCATATGAAAAGATTCTGCATGCAATCTTCTCAAGTACCTTTATTCTTGCACATGTTTTAAAAAAAGACAAACTCAAAGCCAGGAGTGGTGGTGCACACTTGTACCACCATGAGCCTCCCAACAGTTTTGGAGACTGAGGCAGGAGGATTGCAGGTTCAAAGTCAGACTCAGCAATTTAATGAGACTATAAGCAACCTAGTGAGAGCTCATCTCAAAATTTTAAAAAAAAGTAAAAGTGGTTGGGAATGTAGCTTAGTGGTTAAGGGGCCCCAGTTTCAATTCCTGTTACAAAAAAAAAAAAAAGAAAAAAGAAAAAAAAATTAGCCTAAAACTGGAAGTTACAGATTATGTAATACCAGTGTGAAAAGATGTTAAGGAACTCCAACCTACAGGCCTAATCTAAGAAAATGCTTTAGCCTATAACTAGAGATCAGTGAATGGATGCACACTTGAATGTTTTATGTGAAAATAAAATGAAATATATATGTTTATTTTTTCTTTAGGATTCCCTAATTTAACTTAATTTAAGAAAAGGCCTTGGGCTGGGGCTATAGCTTAGTGGCAGAGTGCTTGCCTAGCATGTGTTAGGCACTGGGTTAGATCCTCGGCACCACATAAAAATAAACAAATAAAGGCACTCTGTCCATCTACAAAAAGAAAAAAGAAAGAAAAAGAAAAGAAATGAAATTGTTTTAATTGCTGCATCCCTACCACCCAGAAAGATGCCTAGAGCATAGTAAATACTACATATTTGTGGGATGAATGAATGCATATGCTGAACAACCTTGATATATTTTTGGCAAATAGTTGGAGAAGTGTTTTATAGTACAAGGGGCAAACTGGGACCAGAGATGCAGGTTTAGGAGTTATCAGGAACCTGTCTATCTTGTAACTCCAGGGCTTGGACTAGTGATTCCTACTTGAGAGGACATAAGACAAAATACCTAATAAAAGGTCTTCAACCTTAAAGGCAACACTTTTGGGGTTGGAAAGGACTTTGATGAAGATCTTCTAATCCTATCAATATATAATATCTCCATGAAGGACTTGTTCAGTGTAGAATGAAGACTTTCTTTATCAATAATGTGGATCTACTCATTTCCAGTATGCTTATCTCTGAAATTCCACAGCTACTAGAACATTCTACAAGATATTAAGTCAAAACCTGGCCCTAATTTTACTTCTTACAAATGAGAAGTAAAAGTTTAATTTTGCTTGATAAAGTATAAATGATGGTAGTTTGGGAAGAAAAAAAAAATGTCATCCCCAGAAAGCAAAGCTTCAGAGATGTTCAGAGCAGCTTTATTCACAGTTGCCAAAACTTGGAAGCAAGGAAGATGTCCTTCATTGGTGAATGAATAAACTGTGGCACTACCAGACAATGGAATATTATTCAGCCCTAAAAAGCTATTAAGCCATGGGAAGATATGGAATAATACTAAATCCATATTACTAAGTGAAAGAAGCCAATCTTCATAAGCTGTATGCCATATGATTTCAATCATATGACATTATGGAAAAGGTAAAACTTTAGAGATAGTAAAAAGATCAGTAATTGCCAGGAGTTAGGGGAGGAAGGGGTGAACTAGGCAGTGAAACTATTCTGTATGATACTGCAATGATGGACACATGTTACTCCGTATTTGTCCAAACACATGAAATGCATAACACTAAGAGAGAACCCTAATGTGAACTATGGACTTTGAGTGATATTGATGTATCAGTGTCACAACTGTCTGATATGATTAATTTCATCTTCTGGATAAAGTAATAAATGTGCCATTCCTAATGGGGGATGCTGATAATCGGGAAGGAGAGGGAAAGAACCTTCCTCTCAATTTTGCTGTGAACAAAAAAACAAAAACAAACAAACAAACAAAAAAGCCCAAAATAGTAGATATTAAAAGTTTTAAGAAAAAAAGAAAATGAAACTTGAATAAGAGTCTAGGCAAGATGCTCTAAAGTCTAAGGCAGGTGAATGTTTTAATTTTAATTTTTTTTTTTTTTTGCCACAGTTCCTAACTAGGGGATTCTATTAAGGAAGACGGTTTTAGGGGAAAATCACATTTTATAAAAAAGACCCTTTCAGTTTCCATTCTTGGAGTCTTATACTGTCATCCCTTGTTAACTGAGGGAGATGGCTTCCAGGACCCCTGGCTGATACCCAAATCCTCAGATGCCCAAGTCTCTTGTTTAAATGGTGTAGAATTTCCATATAATCTAGGCACGTCTTCGTATATATTTTAAGTCATCTCCAGATTACTTGTAAATGCTGTTGCACAGTTATTATACTATAGTTTTTAGGAAATCACGAAATGAAAATAAGAGTCTATACATGTTCAATACAGACACAATTTAAAACAAATATTTTTACATGTCGATGGACACGATACCTTTATTTTATTCATTTGTTTTTATGTGGTGCTGAGGATCAAACCCAGGGCTTCACACATGCTAGGCAAATGCTCTACCATTGAGCCCAGATACATTTTTTTTCCCAAATATTTTTGATTTGAGGTTGGTTGGAAACAGATGTGGAACCCATAGATGTGGGAGCCAACAGTATATATCATTTCATTTAATTGTCACGACTGTCTGTGACAGATAGGATTAACCCCGTCTTCCGGATAAAGTAACAGGCTCAGGAAGCTGAGCAGCTTATTCAAAGTCACACGTGATGCTTCTCCAAGGAGGCTAAAAGGTTCTAAGCATTAAATTCTGACACCCATGTGTAATAGATTCTGACTGATGAATAAACATGGTGAAGGTTCCTCAAGAAACCAGTGTAAACATCCAGGTTGTCCTTGATGTGCTTATAAGCAAATGTATTAAAACCCCAAATAAAACAATGTATTAAAACCCCAAATAAGACAAGTAGGCCTGGGTGAATTAGGGGATTGTCAGAAACCTATCAGAAAAGGGTCTAAACTAACACATTTATAAAATGAGAAGGAGCTGTGGTAGTTTAAAATGGTAAGGGCAAAATCCACCCCAGGAACCAGATGGATTAGTCAGGAAAAATCACCAAGAGTAAACCGCACTCTGCTCTAGGTCTTCTCCCACAGAATTTCATTTTAAAATCCACAGATTCGGCTATTCCCCGGACTAGGAATGAAGTGGCGGTGGATGAAGTTGCTTAAGGTCACAAGCCAGGATTTACAGAGAGGACAGACAAGTTTCTTCTAGGTCTCCCTCATGGCCAACTTTTCCTAAAAGTTTTCTTGTTGCTTTCCTGACTGTATGAGTATTTTCTGTTCCTCTGGCATCAAACCCACACATGATTTCAAAAGTAATAGCCACATAAACTGTTAAATATGTGTTGGTTTAATATATGATAAATTTCTTGGCTTAATGTTCTAAAATCAATCCCCACCACACAAAATCACCCTCCCTGGTTTGTCTTTTGGAAATGATCAAATAAGGATAAATATCTCTAGGTTTTTTTAGAAAAACCCAGCCAGATTTCACAGCAGAGAGGTGTGATATCAACAATACATACGTCTATTCTGATCCTTTTCCTAATTTGCTTAGGAAAGGTACTTTGTACAGTATTAAACTAATTTTTGAAGTAGAAATCAATACCCAAACCAAGACAATTCAGTGGCAAGCTCAGTAATCCAAACAAACTCTCAGGAAGAAAGAACACAACACTGAGAATCCACTGTGTGTCAGCAGCCAGGAAAAGCAGCATAAGAGATCTGGTCATGTTTTCCATTCAGGGACTCGAACATTTCAGAAGGTCATGGCTGAGTTCAAGGGCTGGAACTTTAATATTCCATGAATTCAGTGGAAAGACCTCCAGTTTCCCTTCCACCCAACGTGATGATTACACAGACCCAGAAAAGCAGAACTTTCTTTTGGAACATAAAAACTTGTTCTTCTGTAGGATTCTACAATTCTCTCCCCTTTTCTCCTCTTCTCTAATGAAACGTGGGATACTGGCAGCAGGTCACACTATTCTAAGCATAAATCCACTCGAGGGAAGGAGTAGAAATCATGGTCACTCCCTTAGAAAAAGTAATAAATGAATGCATACATTTAGAAGAAGTAGGAGATTTCATTCAAGGAATTTAGTCATGATGATCTAACAGGAAGGGCAGTCACAATAGAAAATGTCCTTGTCCTCTATCTTCTATGCTATAGTCATTTAGCACCTGAGTTTTTACAATGACCCCCGTATTTATATTCACAATGCACCATTTCTCTCTCTCTCTCTCTCTCTCTCTCTCTCTCTATATATATATATATATATATATATATATATATATATCAGTTAGTAGACACTAATTTTTGTTACTATAAATATCTATCATTGATAACCTATCTTCCTTCATCCCTGAAGTTTCAACCAGTCTTTACTATTCTAGCACACTTCCAAGCCTAATTATATTATTACTCTAGCATACCCTCATTCTTAATGTATTATTACCCAAGCATATGCCCCACCCTTACTGTATCATTACTCCATCCATCTTCTACCCTTATAGCATCAGTACTCCAGCACATACTCCACCATATTCCTCTAGCACATCCCCCAGGCCTTACTAATCCTCTTTCCTTCCACAAGCCTCGCTTGGTTTAAGGACACTTAAATCTAACAGTAATGCTGTGTTTATTTATTAAACATTGCAGTGGTAAATAGTAAGTGTATATATTGTTTTAAGAGTGATAATAGAGGAAACATTAACCTCTGGGGTGCTAGTGGACTATTCAGCTATATTATATTTGTTTCACATAATGACTGTTGACTTTATAATATTTAAACTTGGACCCTTTCCAGATTTCCAAAGGAGAGGATTATTTTTGTTTTTGTTCTTTTTTGTTTGTTTGTTTGCAATGGTAGAGCAGCAAGAGCTATATTCAAAGCATAAGGTGGACGACGGTTACATTTCCCTACTGTCAATTTCTATATCCCATTTCTATGGAAAGATGGGCGATGACATCGCTAAGCTGTTTCTTGCTGAAAGAGGGTGAAGTTGGGGGAGGTAAACCAAAGTCCTTGTTCTCTGTCAGGTGAGGTGTGGACAGTGAAGGTTATTCAGCCTCAGGGCAGTCCAGAGGTCCACAGTGACAGATGGCCAATGACTGGACAGGTATGCGTAGGAAGTTTGTTGTTTTTAATGTTTCTAATAACTGGATTCTTATCATTTCATTCTCATGAGTCACATTTCCCTCTTTCCTCTGACTCTAAAAAACTCAGAGACAATCAACCTACCCCAGTGCATATGACTCTCCTAAATGTGCATTAATTCTAGTCTTCGATTTTTCTATTTCCCAGCCCCATTTCCTCATTTATTGTATTTTTATATTCTGACGTGCATCTCTGGAATACTTCTCAGATTCTTTCCGACAAGAAAAGGTATACATAAAAACATAGACAATTCCATTTCTCGCTTTTCTTTACAATGATTTTGGAAATGCCCTCTAAACTCCTGCATTTGACTGTTGAATGTCCCTTTCCACATGCCAGGTCCTGGGAAGATGCATGCAAGCCAGTAGAGGCAGAGGGACTGTTCAGGCCTGTATTCACACCAGAGTATCACCCAAGCCTTCTCTTGATCTTTGATACTACAACATTCTATAAGGAGAAGTAACTTTCTCATCAAAGGAAGCAGGAGATCTAACTTTTCAACAAGGCAAACAACTTGAAATAAGTGACTTTGAAATGTATGATATTAAGAGAGCTACTAGTTGGACTCAGAGTATAGCTTAGGGGTAGAGTGTTTGCCTGGCACATGTGAGGCCCTGGGTTTCATCCCTAACTCCAAAGAAAGAAGAAATGAAGATGGGAAAAAAAAAAAAACAAGTTCCTGAACCAATCTTTCCCTCCCTTTCCCAAGGGGAGGGGCCAGCATGAGATCTGAGTACTGGACAATGCAAGGAGAAACACCAGCAGTGGGCCTGGATGGCTGGAGGTGGGTGGAGGTGGCAGGTGGGAGAAGGATTCGTGAAAATGGCTGCATTGAGCACATACATAAATAGAGTATAATGAGAGCTGTGTTTCTCATTCCCAAAGATGACAGTTATAAACACAGACTGGGCAAAGCTAGAAAGAACCCTGAGATGTTCAGATAAATGAATTTGGAAATATGGCTTCATAATATGTATATTATATTTTATTATTTATTTTATATGTATTTATGATATATTTAATATGTATTTTGTATATTTATGATAATGAATATAGTTTTTGTATAAATTTATATACATATCATATGGCATGTAAATATTCTATGTGAGTATTTACAATCTATAAATTTACACATATAATATGTTGTATATGTGTATACAGAGAGAAACTTGTAACCATTTATTGTTATGAATAACACCATCCGGGCACCAGGGAAACACTTCACATCTCCTTTCTTTGTCCTTGACACAAGAGGGAAGCTGTGGAGGTTCATGGGGTTGTACTGCTGTCCACACTGTAAATGGAGGCTGATTTTTGGAAAGCAAAGTAGGACACCAGGAAAGGGCTTCCTAAGAGATAACACAAACCACTTAATTTGTTAAACTGGTTTTAGACACAATGAATATGATAGAGTCTTCTACTGAGCCAGAGGTGCCAAGTATTCATTATCTGTTTTCTTTCTTTTCTTCTCATCCCAACGGGTGGTTCTGGAATGAATTCCTGCACTATCTGCAATAGTTGGAAGGGCGACTGAGGAAAATTTCACAAAACTAAACAATTCTTATTACTCTCAAATTTGTATATATATAAATCTAAACATACTATAAGTCATATGTAGTGCAGGTTTTTGTTTTGCTTTTTTGGTAGTATTGGGAATTTTAAAAACTGCCATGTGTTCTAAGGGAAGATTCTGTTAAGGAAGATAGTCTAAGGAGGAGAAAGTAATTATGTTTCATAAAAATATTTCTTTCAGGTGCTACTCTAGATGTTTATGTATAAAATTAACTTTGTTTTTATAGATAAGGAAATATTTTAAATGAGCAGAAATCAATGAAATTGAAAGCAGAAAAAATAGAGAAAATTAATGATATAGTGCTGGGTTTTACAAAGATCTATAAAATCGATGAACAAACGTTTAGCAAGACTAAGAAAGAAAAAGAAAAAGAAGAAAAGAAAATACAGATTATGAATATCAGGAAGGAAATGAAGTATATCACTACAGATTCTGAAGTCTCAAAAAAATAAATAAAAACTGTATAACCCAGAAAAAATGGATTGTTTGAAAAACACAACTCACTCAATATGAAATAGGTAATATGAACAGCAGTATAACTCTTAGGGAGAATGTGAATTTGTAATTTAAAAAAATCTACTACTCTTGGGCTGGAGATGTGGCTCAAGTGGTAGTGCGCTTGCCTGGCATGCACAGAGCACTGGATTCGATCCTCAGCACCACATACAAATAAAATAAAGATGTTGTGTCCACTGAAAACTGAAAAATAAATATTAAAAAATTCTCTCTCTCTTTAAAAAAAAAAAATCTCCTACTCTCTGCCTCCTGCTCCCCCCAAAAAACCAAAAAACTACAGGCACAAATGTTTTCACTAGAAAATTCTACCAAATACATAATGAAGAATTAATACCAACCCTATGTAAATTTTTTTCCAGAAAATAGAAGAGCTGAAGATACTTCTCAATTTACTTTATGAAGTAGTATTATCCTGATATCAAATCCAAACAGAAACAGTACAAAACATGCAAATTACAGGCTCTCAGGAATATAGGTGGAAAAATCTTTACAAAATACTAATAATAGAATTCAGCAATGTTAAAAAAAAATCATACACCATGACTAAATGGGAGTGTAAGGCAAGTTCAAGAACTGAAAAAAGTCAATCAATGTAATCGACCACATGGACAGGTTAAAAAAAAGAAAAATCACATAATCATATCTATCAATTTGAAAAAAACAGTCAACAAAATCCCATCCTCTTAATAAAAACTGAAATAGAGGAAAAATCTGAGAAAAACTGGAATATAAGGAAATTCATCAACTTAATTAAGAGCATCTACAAAAAAACTCCAACACCAAGATAATGTATAAAGACAAAATGCTTTTTCCTTAAGACCAGGAACAAGGCAAGGATATCCATTCAACATTCATTCATTCAACAGGTGCCAGTGTAATAAGGCAAGAAAAGGAAATAAAAAGCATATAGATCATAAATGAAGAACAAAATTGCCTCTATTTGTAGATGATATTATTGTTTATGTTAAAAATCATAAGGAATGTAAAATAATCCACAAATGCTGTGAGTTTAACAAAGTTGCAAGATGCAAGATAAATATATGAAAATCAGTGTTGGGACCTGAACCCAGGGCCTTGTGCATGCTAGGCAAGCACTCTCCTAGTTCCACTGCTAGGCCTATAAAATATTTTTGAAATAACAAAATTACAGAAATGGAATACAAATCTTATGGCCAAAAGTTAAAAGTCTATGGAAGAAAGGAGGTGGGTATGGCTCCAAATGGGGAACATGAGGAATTTTTGTGATGGTGAAAATGCTTATAACTTCACTGTATCAAAGCGAATGTCCTGGCTGTGGGATGGTACTATCAGTTTGCAAAAGGTTACCACTGGGGGGGGTGGGGCTGGAGTTGTAGCTCAGAGGTAGAGCACTTACCTCGTACATGTGAGGCACTTCGTTCGATTTCCAGCACCACAAATAAATAAGCAAATAAAATAAAGGTCCATCAACAAGTAAAAAAAAAAATATATTAAAAAAAAATAAGGTTACCATTGAGGAAATTGGGAAAATGGTACAAGGGAGTGATCTGTAGTACTTGTAACAATTGCATGAGAATCTACAATTATTGCTAAGAAAAGAGCATATGAAATATATTTAACTAAATTTAAAATATCAAATACATTTCAACCATTATGTGGACTTGAATTGACATTTTGAAGAAAATGTATACACTTTGAAAACATTTAAAAAACCTCAGAAAGCATACAAAATTCAAAGTAATAGAAAAAAGAAAAATACTAAAATAAAAATAAAACTCAGGGGGAAAAGCTGAGAAGAAAAAAAAAATTTACCACACCAAATTCACCCACTACTGATAAAAGCAACAATAATGTGTCAGAAAGCTATTTTTATTTCATCTACAATATAGATCATCTGAAATCCCTGCAACTTGATTTATATCCTTTACTAGAATATTGATTACCCATCAGAACACTGTGAATACACAGCAAGCCTCCGTAAGTGCTCTTGCCCCAAGCCATATCGGGTACACACGTGCCTCCTATATAGCTAGCTCCCTTTCTTTCCTTACATTATGCCATCATTTGAAGGTGGAAAAACTGTTTATAATTATATAAGTTCACAATCTAATTCTGTTTTGCACAGAATCACAAAAACAGTGTGACAGAGTATTATTAGTATTATACACTTAGCCTTCTTAGAATGCAATAAACGTCTATCTTCAAAGGAAAGCAGTACTTTGCTTTGTTCGAAAGTTTACCCTGAGTTGTGAGCGTTTTAGAGAGCCACTCAGGTCAACACTGCTCTGGTATTTGAATCCCCCACACTGCACCAAGTGGTCTTCTCTGTAGCATTTAGATTCTCAGCCACCTCCACCCAGGTACAGGCATCTAACGGTCTCCTAGTGGAGTCAGCAAATACACATCTAAATGTGTTACTTTATTAAGAAATGGGTTTCCTTTTATTTCTCTTCTACATGACAGGCAGCGCACTGTATTGATTTTTTCCAGTCCTACATATGGATTGACAAATTTCATTCTAGGATATTAAAGGGTGCCTTACAAAATAATCATCATTAAAAAAAAAAAAAGTAACTGGACCACAAGGTCGAGACCTCTGCAGAAGCCCCTCAGAAAGCATTGCAGGGCTTTTTTCTCCTTGACTGCATTCCACTGGAAGGCCATGCACGGGAAATAACCATGGCTGGCTGATAACAACAACAATATAAGTCACGGACAGCAAAACCAGGGGCACTCACACAAGCAGCGGAGAGGATAAGGCCACCTTCAGGCAGCGACCAAGGCAACCACAACAAAACAAAATCATTAAGAGAGAAAAGAAAATGTGCCCAAACTGTACCCCAGGTTGTATCGCCCTCCCCACTCTCATTCTGGTTAATATAAAACATGTTTCCCCTTTACCTGGGCATAAAAAGTCTGACCTGATACCCTCATTCTCTCCAATGGAATTTTTCTTATTTCCAATTCGGGACACACACCACAAGCTTTCCTTATGGAATAATCACTAGATCTACGTGGAAAATTTTGGCAACTCACGAGAGGACCTATCTGAGGATTCCAGGGAAATATGTACCCATGAAACAGCTCCCAGAAGAAACTAGAAATTTAGAAAATTTCTAATTTACCTTCTCATTGAAATCTAAAATTTTATCACAGTGAGAGTAGGGCAAGGAGTGATGAAGAAGAAACAATTTGAAAGCAGAGAAATTGAGAAATCGGATGAAAGATTAAAAAACACAAGAGTAGATGGAATGGCGCAAACTATGTTGTATGTATTTGTGAACATCAAAATGAACCTCTCTATTAGATGCACTACTAAAAAATTTTAGAAGAAATATGCAAAAAAAAAAAAAAAAAAAAAAGAAGCCCAGGGGCTGGGGATGTGGCTCAAGCGGTAGCACGCTCGCCTGGCATTCGTGCGGCCCGGGTTTGATCCTCAGCACCACATACAAACAAAGATGTTGTGTCCACGGAAAACTAAAAAATAAATATTAAAAAAATTTTTAAAAATCCCACAGAAGTAAAGAAATACACAAAACAAAAAACATAGTAGATGATACTTTTTTTTTTAATTCAGAGGATTCATGAAA